AAGACGAGATAGATGCTTGTGAAAGACTTTGGATGCACCTATGAAGGTGATTAAGAAAAGACTTTGCCGTATAGTTTATCATTGAATGACTAGCGCAAACAGCCTTCTTTATGCTGAAAAGAAGTGCTATGCTAATTCTGGACATTGCTATTATGTTTCCAGACAGAAGATGACCGGAAAAAGAAATAAAGACTGATAGCCCTCAACACCTAGCTGTTTCTCAAGATGGAACATGGTACTGAGAAAACCTGATTGACTATCAAAGCACCTCACAGTACAAGACACAGATTGTTGCCTACAACTCAGAAAAAGTGGTTTATAGGAAGGAGCAGAAGAAGAGGAATATAGATTTCCTACTGGAGTGAAAAACCATCCTGGAACAATATTCTGTAACAATGAACTTTAAAATGACATTTGGTGGCATATGAATTTGAATTTGGTAGAAACACATCAATTAACTAAAGAAACCTTGATGCAATTAATAAATAATAACAATACCGGCTTACTAAGAGCAGATGCCCTGCCAAGAGAATGGAATATAAAAAGACCAACAAAATCTTTCAGAAACCTGACATCATGGGACACTTGTACTAAAGCACAATTTGCAGCTTTTCTTAAACTCTACATATTATGTACATACCTGCAAAGCAAGGACCTCCTGTAAACATAAAGACAGAGACATTGATACAACAAGGAATCTGTAATGGTTCTGTTGCAGATGTGATCTACCGTCGTACTCCTTGCTCTTTTGGTATAACTATACCAATGAAAACGTTAAATGGCTCCATAGAATCAAACGACAACGGATTATTGCTATATTCTGGACTTCCAGGAATGTGGTGCATGGACAGAAAAATTATAATTACTAAAGCAATCATGCCATTTTTTTCCCTGTATCAGAAATGTGTCAGTGACAATGTGTAATATAATACAGATACTATAATTAATGGTATAAGAAACACATAATGTGTTAATTACAAAGGTGGATAGACTTTGTGAATATCTGAAACGCAATTGAAGATTATTGCTAAAATGCCATATGCAGCTGCAGTCTGGCCTACAACCAAATATATTAAACATACGTAGAAGAGTATAACAGCTAATTAACCAGATAAATAATTGAATCATGATAGTTAAAGATCATATGATTGCAATAACACCTGCAATAATGAATGTTTTACCCTTAAAAGAAAATGTTATTTGGTTTGTAATGGTTAAAGGTACATAAACCACCTATACAAAGGTAGAGTTAAAATATAAATACATTCAATATTGTATCAGAGTGCTTTCTTAACTCACTTTTAGAAATAATAATACATTCTAATCATCTTAAGCTACACCCAACAGCCGCTGGTAAATATACTTAAACAATTAAGATTCACATTGTTAAGCAACCAATCTCACAAACGTAAAAAAAAGTTTTCTAAGACACATTTTTGGGGTTTCTGTTATTTTAAGCCACTAATAACTGTAGTTATTATATTTACTAATAATAACCAGGGAATAAGTTGTCTTCTCCCTAACAGGTCAAAGAAAGATAATTAACGTCATATTTCCAATTAGCAACTATTATAAATAGATTGAGAGATTTTGAATAAAAGAGTATTTTTAACAGTTAAAGAGAATATAATTGTACATACCATTGTGAACAAAGGTGGTAAATGCTGCTTCAAATTATCCTTATATTTCTAAAATCATATACAAGGGTGTTTGTCTTTAAAACAAAACACTAGAAAGATTAACTATGTTACTATTTCATCTATCATTATTATACAAAGTATAACAAATGTAAAGATTTTTCCACAGATTTTACCTGTTAACATTTATAGAACAACAGCATCTGATGTCAGTGAGATATCTATCACTGAGATGTTACAAAGATTCCAATACCGCAAAAAGAGGCATTCTTGAGAATCCACTTAGAATGCTGTATCAACATAACATTTACGACAATGTCTTGAAAATGCTGTCAATTAATTGATTCCGTAAAAGAATATCGGAGAGTATCCAATCTATACACATCATAAACGGTGTAAAAATGTTTCATGGAAAAAACAAAATAAAAAAGACAAAGACAAATACTAACACCATCACCACGGTGATAACAGATGATGCTGATTCAATATCTGCAACCAATTCTATCCAAATATTTGGAAAGCTGGACTCTACAACCTATACTCTACAACAAATACCCGGGTATTCTACAAACACAACCTCCAGCAATGTATCTAAGGAATGTAAACTTCTACAGGCATTTAAAGACTTTGGATTACAAATACAATTACTACTTTTAACTTTGGATTACAATTCATATCCGGATCTATCCAAGAATATCTTACTCTGGAACCTGGTGTTCTTTTCAGTTCTTTCCCAGACAAAAGCTTTGCTCATTTTAATCAACCACCTTTACATGCAAAGATCACACTATGGATATTTTACTGTTACAACAATGATCAAAGATGCTGGGAGCACAAAAAAAAACAAAAGACTGTTGGAGAACTTTGGTTTACTAATTTAAGGAAGAAATGCGCTACAATGCCCACAGTTTAATGGAGAGGGTGTTATGGGCAAATGCAAATATTACAAGTTTTAGAATGAAATGTTGTATTTCTTAAACTGTGTACTTTGTCTTTAAGAGATATTGCAAACTGACAAGGTGTTAGAAATGGAACATATTGTTTTTCATAACTGTTTCTTTAGGCAATAACCCCAGTGCATAATATGTTTGCGCCATTTTGTCCCAGACGAATTACAATAACAATAATGCATAAACAAGCTTCAAGGCTATGCTACGACTCTTGCAGTACACAATATACTGTGGTAACCCCAAGTTAATGGAACTTCCCCAAATCCAGGAATCTCCCACGACTGTACACTTATGACTTAGTATAAACAACAGATAACCTATTCAGACTTTAAGATGCCATCTTGAACTAAGTCAGGAAAATTTCCATGACGTATACACCCTTTAGTTATGGCCTTGTATGTTTGCCAAATTAAGGGAGGTCCTAGATTGAATAAAGTAAAAGAAGTGTTACTTTTTCATATTTGAACTACAGTAACCTAAAATGGAGACACCTAAGGTATAAATAGGTGTACTTTTAAATGTTAAGACACAGAGGAGAGACTTGGAGACAGACGCTGCTCCATCTTAAAATGACAGAGAGGCTGACATGATGACATGTTCAGAAGGGTATGTTAACCTATTAATGATATTTGCAAGCATGTAATGTAATCTTATAAACTCTGCTTTAATGGATTTTATATTTTTATATAATAAATATCCAAAAAGACAATCTTGCTTCCAAGACAATCCTTATTTTATATTGTATTCTCAATTATTTATATATGTTAAATAGAGGATCTCTTACACTATATAAAATTATGGCTAAGATATCTGTATGGTTAGCCCTACTAAGTTCTATGCTTTAAGACATTATAGTGGTAAATAAGGGAACCACACACGGTTACAATCCAGTCCCCTGTGAGGAGGAGGTCCCGTAGGGAGTGTATACCTTCCATCTTGATATGGTGGTATGTGACAAACATGTTTAAAGGTCTCAAGTTGATGACTGGACGGACGTCTCCGCCTTTTTTGGGTACCAAGAATAGGTTGCTCAGGAAACCCGGTGTGGTAGAGGGGAACCGTATAGATTGCCCCTTTTGAGGCCAAGGCCTGGACCTCTTGAGTTATCAACTCCCGGTCCCGTGTGGGGAACACCATTCGGCCAGGGGGTTCCAATTGGACTGGGTATTGTACGAAGTCTATAGAATAACCCCGGACCGTGTGGAGCACCCAGGCATCTGCCGTGAACATGTGCCATGCTTTGACAAAATGGTCCAGTCTGCCCCGCACCATAGTTAATGCAGACATATGAGGAGGTAGCGCACTTACCATAAGGCCGTCGGCCATATGAAGAGCCTCTGGATCCTCGGGTGTGCCATGGTCTGCTTCGAACCGGGAAAAACGGTGAGGCTTGCTTGGGTTCCGGGGGTGTGAATCGAGGTTGTACGGAGCCACGAGAGCCCCGAGGTTGTACGGAGCCACGAGAGCCCCTGGTGGAACACTCGTTTCATGCTGGCCTGAGCCTTATCAAGTGCCGTAAAGGTGCCCACATACGTGCCTAGTTCTTTCACAAAGTTATCCCCGAATAAGAGTGCTTTAGCCTGAGGACCTGGTTCTGAGATTGCCAGATTAACTAGTTTAGGCTCAATTTTTATTAAAATCGCCTTGCGCCTTTCCGTGGCCACTGCCGTATTCGCGTTGCCCAGGAGACACATGGCACGTTGGATCCACCCCCGAAGGGCTTCTAGGTCCAGCGGTGTACCCCCTGCCAACGCGATTTCGACCATATCGAACATCCTTGCGATCGGGCCAAGGATGTCCAATACCTTATCCTGGCAATTACGCCAGGCAAAGTCCAGGCCCTTCTTGGCCTTCCAGCCAGATTTGCCCAGGAATTGGGCGATTTTTGGGTCCACTTCCGGGGTGGCGCATGCCATATCCGGGACCGTGGGGCGTGGGCACTCTGCCCGCAGCTTGTTCCGCGCCACCTTATCCAGTGTCTTTCTGATACGGGCAGCAATATATTTCGCTACGTGGTCCAGAGGGTACCTGTAAGGTATCCGGGTCGAACAAAGGTTCGCCCTGCGGGTCAACCAAAGCTGAGTCGTCAGCTCCGTTCTTATGGTCCATGTCCGTGCCCGTGGCGGAGCTATAGTCCCGCAAGTGAGCCTTAGTAGAGTCCACATCATAATCATCAGAGTCCTCCTCTTCGGACTCGCTCTGAGCCTCCTCTAGCTCCGATTCAGAGTCAGAGGATTCCAGTAGGGCTTTAGCCCTCTTCCATTTCCTCACCGATTTTGCCCGGTGGGGGGCTCTTAGTTGTGGTCCAACCACAGGTTCTGTGACAGGACGTACCCTGTCCGTCTGTAGGGATTTGGAGGCATAATCGTCCAAATGACGAGATTTTTTAGTGGCCTTACGCCCACTAGGGGCCACCGGCTTATTCTCTGGGGGGTTAGCCATGGGGTTAGCAGGTAATTGTGTGGCTCTCATCGCCGTAGTTATGGAATGGGATAAATTCTCTGACATGGCACCCATGGCAGTAACTATGGCCTGCGTTACAGACTTCGCCATAGCTGCGTCTAAGAGGGAATGCAATTCCTCTGAATCCATATGCTCCTGCGCTGTGTCCAACGCAGTGGGCATTTTGGGGCCCTGTAGGGGAGGGGTGGGCATGGTGGCCCTAGATGTAGTGGCACTATAAGCACTGTGGTCAGCCTGCATGTTTGGGATGGATGGCAGAAAATGATATAGGCAAGGCTGAGACTGACAACCCTAGCACAGGTAATAAAGTGACTAACCCCCAACAACAGTAATGCTCAAAGTATATATATATAAAAATCACTAATGTTCAAGGCTAGATTCTGCTATAAATTTAGTAGTAATAACAGCACTAATTTTATGGTAATTTTTTTGCATAATGTGTTTTTTAGTAACATAAATAGACATTCAGCTTGCTCTATAATAGTGGTTGTGTATAGATTTTCACACAATTATTTCATTGTGCTATGAGATTGAATATTTTTTCTGACAGTTTATATTTCCAGAGTTATTTGGCATTAGTTTTATTTTTGATTAATATAAATTTGCACATTAGTAGCACTTGCTGTATCATCTGTATACAGTTTAGCTGGTATATGCTGTCAGTCTATAGTCTCAGATGGCCATATTGTATATATTCCTCTTCATGGTATTGTTTATTAACTTTTAGGTGTCCTTTTGGTTTAGGACTTATTTTAAAATTCACTGGGCACTTGGCACACAATTTGATGTTCTCTCTTCGAGCTGTCTTTGAGCTCGTAGTAAAATAAATAATCACGTAGGATTTGTTTACGTTGCTTAGCAACGACACTTGCGACACGCGTCATCACGCTTAGTCACGGGGTCGCACCTATTCACTTCCGGGTTTCGGGCGGCCGGGCGGGAGTTCATCTCCACACACCTGTTGGGTAAGTGATTATTTCATTTATCTACCTATATATATATGTTCATCTCACTGTTATATTGATCTTGAAAAAGACCCTTTAGGGGTCGAAACGTTGATTGAAGATTACGAATGTAATGCACAACTTAGAATAAAATTACTGATGGAAGAAGTCCTGTGAGTGCACCTTTTTTCTATGAAAAATATATATACATATATATATATGTTATCAGGCACCAGACACCAATGTGGGCAAGGCACAACAGAAAAAGATATAAAGAAAATCACAATTGCAGCAAGCTCACGAGTGTTCCCTCAGGAATAAGCTCCTGGGGAACACAGGGAGAGTTTGCCCGATGACAGGGAGTAATTCCCGCCCCCAAAACACAGTATTGGCCGCGCTAGCAAAAGCGCGGCAAAACTGCCCTTCCCCAAGATGGCGGCCGCGATGCGCACTTGCGTTGTGCGCATGCGCGGGCGGCCGCGGTTACTGCGGGTCGCCGGGACCGCGACCGTCAGCGGTACCCGTGCGTGGGGGGAGAAACCCCAAAGGGGAGAAGGCGGCAAGAGGAGACACAAATGGTCGGGAAATAAACAAACCGACCGGAGGTAGGAGGGGGGGGGGGAGGCAGGGAAGATAGAGAGGGGAACCAATGAGGGCAAAGACCCAAAAGACTGAACTAGAACAAGGAAAAAATACACAATAAACCCTGAGGGGAAAAAGAAAACATTTAAAAACCAAGTTACTGAAAAACCAAGCTAGTAACTGACAGCAACAGAGGAAGGAGAAATTTTTTTTACTTATCAGAGGCTGCAGCAGCAAAAGAAAGAGGAGTGGCTTAGGGTCACATGGGACTTTGTGGTAATGGGGACACTCTGATTGGTTCAGATGTGGTATCTGATTAACCCTTTAGAGTATGATGTGGTGTTGTTGAACTGTTTTTTCCCTTTTTGCATTGAATATATATACTATATTTCTTTTGCTGCTGAAGAATAAAAGAAAGAGAGAAGCATAACAGGAGCCTCCGTGTCCTTTATAAAATCCAAGGTTGCCAACTCCCCTCCTGAACAGAATCCTTTTAAAGAAACGTATCTGTTGTTTTTAAGGAAAGCACATCAGATATGAAGGTAAATAAAGTCACAATCTATCTGTAGCCACATTCCCTGATATATATTGGATTAAAAAGAAAGTGGTAGTAGTGGTTTATATGTAGTAGATAGTTTAACAATATTTCTCTCTCAGGTCATGCTGGCATCATGGACCCGGACTAAACAGCTTGTGGCCATGAAAGTGATGGAGAAAGGCGCAGTCCTGACAACCAGCATTCTCAAGGAGCGCCGTACTCTTGAAATTGCCGGAGGATGTCCATTACTCTGTGACTGCTTTTCAGACCCAGGTACAGAATTGTTTATCTTTATTTCCAGAGCCTTTACTATTGTATCTGTATAAAACCAAAAATCACTATTCCTCTGCCCTATTAATATCGGAGCCCTAGTGGTGAATCGACAAGTCAATTACACATTTTAAGATAAAATAGTCCAATAAAGAACATGGCTACTTTTGTGTTTTTTGAAATTACCTTGTCACTTCCTGATTGCCATTTTGTTTAAACCTTATAGTATATAATTTTTATCAAATCTTATATACACACACACACACACACATCTACATCACTGGACTAATACGGCTACAATCTCTACTTATATATATATGATAGTTTTCATGAAACCTTTTTTTTTTAATCAGGTTTTATTCAGCTGAAATTGTCCATGAGACATTCCTTATTATGTTTTTCCTTCATTGTTCTTTTCTGTCACTAGTGGGAGCTACGATCCTCTCACTGCAATGCTGTCTCCTTTCTTTCTGTGTCTATTAGCTGTATTTGTTCTGTCTATTCTCCCTCTACTCTCCAGTTAACCCAGTAACTCCCACAACCCACTGCTCTGTCCCTTGCCACACTATTTATCAACTTTCAATTCAGAAACACTTACATTTGTTCCTTATCTGCACATTTTAGTGACCTAAAGCCTGATAACATCTTGCTTGATGGAGATGGACATGTAAAACTTGCAGACTTTGGTTTGGTGGCTGAAAACATGCTAAAGGGCCAAAAAACCACAGACAAAACTGGCACTATGTATTACATGGCCCCAGAGGTAAGTCAATAAACATTTATTTCTAACATTTTAATGTGCCATGTAAAGTTTCTTGTTTATTACTTTAGATGATTTTAACCCCTTAAGGACACATGACATGTATTACATGTCATGATTCCCTTTTATTCCAGAAGTTTGGTCCTTAAGGGGTTAAAGTATTAACCATGGGGGCGGAGCCTGGCAGTCAGGCCAAGCAGATGTATCTGAGCAGGGCTTCTCACCCAATTTTAAATATAATGATTAAACTGCGGTTTCAAACCTTGACTTCGTAATTAATTACGTTGGTGCCCCGTCTACCCCCCCCTCTGGCCCGGTTGGGGTTATCCCGGTCCACACTGGAATAGCAGGCAAACCCAGGACACTGGGCCCGAAGTGGACTGCACAAAAGCAGGGCTACTATAACACAAGATAAACGACACTCCTGTAGCCAAGCTCTTGATGGAGGCCAAGGATCGGCAATGGAAGGCAGTCTCTGACACCATGTGCAGACAGTCCTGGTGCATCCAGGAGACAAAGATACATCACTTACATATTACAATTCACTTAGAATGACGTTAAAAAAAAAAAAAAATATATATATATATATATATATATGCACATATACACACACACACACTGGACAAAATTTTAAACGCAAAAAAATTTCCCCCCATTTTTCATGAGCTGAACTCAAAGATCTAAGACTTTTTCTACATACACAAAAGGCCTATTTCTCTCAAATATTGTTCACAAATCTGTCTAAATCTGTGTTAGTGAGCACTTCTCCTTTGCTGAGATAATCCATCCACCTCACAAATGTGGCATATCAAGATGCTGATTAGACAGCATGATTATTGCACAGCTGTGCCTTAGGCTGGCCACAATAAAGGGCCACCCTAAAATGTGCAGTTTTATCACACAGCACAATGCCACAGATGTTGCAAGTTTTGAGGGAGTGTGCAATTGGCATGCTGACTGCAGGAATGTCCACCAGAGCTGTTGCCCATGAATTGAACTTTCATTTCTCTACCATAAGCCGTCTCCAAAGGCATTTCAGAGAATTTGACAGTACGCGGTGCGCGAGGGAGCTGAAGAGGAAGCACTCAGGGGAGAGTGCTCCCACGCGCACCCACCCGCCTGCCGGGTGTCAGCAGGACCGGCCGCCCAGGAGCCCAGCAGCACCACTGGACCCCAGGAAATCCCCTCAGCTCTCCAAAAGGTAAGGAGGCTGGGGGGATTCAATTTAAAAAAATGTGTGTGTGTTAGTGTTTGTGTGTGTGTTAGTGTTAGTGTGTGTGTTAGTGTGTGTGTCTGCTAGTGAGTGTCATTGAGCTGATGTGATCTGGGTGTCTGTAGTGGTCCTTTAAGTGTGTGTGCATACCGCGGTCGCAGGGTTGCAGCCCTGTGACCAGGTGCCCGCCGCCATGTGTTGCGGCCCCGACCCACGCCGAGTAAGTGCAGGGGGGGCCACGAGTCAGTTTTCGCACCGGGGCCCCATGGGTCATGTGTACGCCACTGTGCACGGCCCCATGTTGCAAGGATCTGTACACAATTCCTGGAAGCTGAAAACATCCCATTTCTTGCATGGCCAGCATTCTCACCGGACATGTCACCCATTGAGCATGTTTAGGATGCGCTGGATGGGCGTATACAACAGCGTATACGACAGGTCCTGCCAATATCCAGCAACTTCGCACAGCCATTGAAGAGGAGTGGACCAACATTCCACAGGCCACAATAAACAACCTGATCAACTCTATGTGAAGGAGATGTGTTGCACTGAGTGAGGCAAATGGTGATCACACCAGATACTGACTGGTTTTCAGACCCCCTGGATTCTCCCAATACAGTAAAACTGCACATTTTAGAGTGGCCTTTTATTGTGGCCAGCCTAAGGCACACCTGTGCAATAATCATGCTGTCTAATCAGCATCTTGATATGCCACACCTGTGAGGTGGATGGATTATCTCGGCAAAGGAGAAGTGCTCACTAACACTAATGTAGACAGATTTGTGAACACTATTTGAGAGAAATAGGCCTTTTGTGTACCTAGAAAAAGTCTTAGATCTTTGAGTTCAGCTCCTGAAAAATGGGGGCAAAAACAAAAGTGTTGCGTTTATAATTTTGTTCAGTGTGTATATATATATATATATATATATATATATATATATATATATATATATAATTTTTTATATATAAAAGAAATCAGTAAATTGAAGGAAAAAAATTAGATACCTTTTGTAATTTTGTTCCAACTGTATTTTGATATTTATATATATATATATATATATATATATATATATATATATATATAAAATCAAAATACATTTAGAATGACATAAATATATGTAAATCTAATCTATAAACATATACTTAGCTATATATAAAGAAAATTGATTTTAAAAATTATATATATATTTAATTTCTGCGTATATATTTGAGTAATATTTTTACATAATTAAGTAATTTTATTAATTACAATTTGAGGGAAATGCCTAACAACCCAGACAGAAAGCCCAGCAAATTTGGTTCGCAACTCCCATATTTAACCCTGTTACTTTTGAAGACACCATAAAACCTGTACACGGGGGGTACTGTTTTACTAGTGAGACTTCGCTGAATACAAGTATTAATTTTCAAAACAGTTAAACCTATCACAACAATGATATTGTCAGTGAAAGTGACATTGTGTCAGGATTACTGTATGATCCAGCACGTATAATTGTGTAACACAGGAGACTAATAGGTAATGTATACCGGGCCTTAGAATGGCCGGACTAACGTACCAAAGAATAGCCAGAGGAATAGCCAAGGTCAGGGGACACAGAAAGGGACACAACAATAAAGAAAAGCCAGAGGTCAGGGATACCAGAAAACAGGGAAGTCAAAATCAAAGCCAAATAACCAGAATAAGGAATGCGATCTCGGACAACCACTAGGGAAACCACGACAGGGCAATGAGTGTCAAGTATAATGAGGTTTAAATACTTGTTCAAGTCTTCTGATTGGCAGAAATCAGTCTTTGGCCCCAAAACATGTGTGCGCCAACGTCGTCAATCACGTAAGCGGACGCGGGGGTATTGTGCCCTGGATCCGCAGCGGCCGGCGTCCATTAACATGCCTCAAGTGTCAGTCATGCATACGCGCGGCCGCTGGGTGCAGAGACCGCAAGGTCAGGAAGAGTATGTTACACATTGTTTGCATTTTTTACACACAATCGGCACTTTTACTGATGATATCATTGTTGTGATACTTTTACTGTTTTGAAACACTAATATTTTGGTTCAATGTAGTCTTCCGAGTATAACAGTACCCCCTGATGTACAGGTTTTATGGTGTTTTCAAAATTTACAGCGTCAAATATAAGGCTTGCATTTAACTTTTTTCACATTGAAATTCGCCAGGTTGGTTATGTTGCCTTTGAGACCATATGGTAACCCAGGAATGAGAATCACCCCCATGATGGCATACTATTAGCAAAAATAGACAACCCAAGGTATTGCAAATGGGGTATGTCCAGTCTTTTTTAGTAGCCACTTAGTCACAAACACTGGCCAAAATTGGTGTTCAAATTAGTTTTTAGAATTTTTCACACACAAACAAATATGAACGCTAACTTTGGGCAGTGTGTGTGACTAAGTGGCTACTAAAAAGAACTAGACATACTCTATTTGTAATACCCTGGGTTGTCTTATTTTGAAAATGGAATGCTATCATGGGGGTAGTTCTTATTCTTGGGCTACTGTACAGTCTCAAAGGCAACATAAGGAGTCTGGCAAATTTCAATGTGTATAAACTGAAAAATGTAGCTTTCCAAAACACAATAAAACATGTACACTGTACATAGGGGGTGCTGTTTTACACTTGAGACATCGCTGAATACAAAATAGAGTATTTTATTGCAGTAAAAGCAAACAGTTTTATGACATTCACAGTTAAAATGTCATGTAGAACTAAAAAAATAACAAAATTTCTTACTTTCTCACATATTTTTATATTGTTTTCATATTAAGTTATGTTTCATAGCTAAATACTTGATGTGAAATTAAAGATCTCTTTCTCCTGAATAAAATGATATATAATAAGTGTGGATGCACTTAATATGAAAGAGGTGATCAGAACATTTACAATTGGCTCCATCCTTAAAGAGTTAATGGAAGATACGCCACTGTAGGTTAGTGAGTGTCCTTTATTACACCATGAAAAGAACCCAGCCAGATTACAACGTAAAGTTGAGATTACAGTTATTAATCTGTGAATTCAAGTTAGTTCACCAGGGATTGCAAATTTACAGTCAAGATAGCTAAACTGGGGGGCAGAGCTAGCTGCGGACCAGCAAAGACGCATGGTGAACAGCTCCGTACCAAAATAAATAAAACACCTAAATAATCGGCGGAATTTGGGCACCTACCTTTCCCAAACCTTACCCACCAGTTGAGAAGAGGATAATGGGCAAGAAAAAAAAAAAAACGAGGCCGGACAAAACCCCTCTCAGCCACGACATCGGCGAACTCCTGCGGAACTCACAGAAGCCCGCATGGGAGAAAATGGTGCAGGGGGAAGACGAGTACTCCGACTCCTCCGGAGACTTCTACCCAGACCTGGAGAAGGTGCTTCAATAAACCAGCCCACAGGGCTCAAGACCAAAGCACCCCTAGCAGGAGAACCTTGCTCACAGCAGCCTTGCTGACACAAATGTTCACAGAACTCAGGCAGGACTTAGCTGCATACTTCAAAGAGGCCATTGAGGGGGCTACCACGAGGCTTACCCATTTGGAGGCCAAAGCAAACTCCCAAGACACACGCCTACATAACCTGGAACAAAGAATGTCAGACCTCCACAGACAACAGCTGGGCACAGCAGAGAAGGTTGAGGCCCTGGAAGACCACAGAAGAAGAAACAATTTAAAGGTAAGAGGGGTACCTGATGACATAGAGCAGCCGACCTCCCACACTACGTGAGGTGCCTAATAGCAACATTACTGCAACCCAAACAGGCCAAACTCATGAAGATAGACAGACTGTTCCATCTGCCCAAACCGACAAATGCACCCCCAACCGCTACGGCTGACATTATTGTAAAATTCCAAACCCTTCAAGACAAGACCGCTGTCCTGGCAGCGACCCAAGGGAAAACCCCTCTATCATTTGAGGACTCTCAATTATTGCTGTTCCCTGACCTAACGAGAAGTACACTAAGCTGGCGCAAATTGCTTCAACCAAGCTTACAACTCCTGAGAACCAACAATATCCAGTACCGATGGGGCACACCGCAGCTCATCACATTCAGCTTCAAAGGGACAGCATACCGGGCAAGAAGCCCACAAGAACTATACACTCACCTGGGCCAACTGGGCCCGAAGGCACCGCAATCGAAATCCACGACCACCTCAACCAGGCTGGATCCCACCACTGCAAAGGAATTTATACTCAGGGCGTCTCGATGAGCTACACCAGCAGACAACGCAACCTGAGCAAACTACACTGAATGGATGACTTTCCATCCTCTTGGTTGCCACCAAAATCCGTGACTATAACTACCGAGTTACAATTGTGTTTTTCTTGCTTAATGGTTACAACTCTAGCATATCGCTATAGAGACCATGACCCTTAACTTTAGGAACCCAGCCGTATTGGAGTGAAATGATGTTACACCTTATTCAGAGTTTTGTTTTTGTTTTTTTTCTTCTTCCTCTCTTCTCTTTTTATGTTTAATTATCATGCAGCCAGAGATAAACGTGCCTGCAGATAACGTGGCTACAGAACAGAAAGGCCCACCCTGGCACTGGCTCTGACTCCATCCCCCCTCCCCCCCGCACTACTTAAGCTAGGATAGGAGAATTCACTGATGTAAATCCCCGGAGGGGGCTCTCTTCCCCCTGGAGCACTTAAGCCTACGTGAGATATACTGGTATTTTTCTAACTAAACTTTACTCATGTGCCCAGAGGGTCATATTCATGTGGTATTATAATGTTGACTAACCCGTTTCTAAAAACACTAAAACCCACTCAGCATGAGACCCTGTACTAGACATCAACTATGCATCTATTATTGTGTGTGAACTATAAGGGTGACCGCCCACATTGTATGTTGTATTTCTATTTTAACATGCTGAGTGACTAAAATAAAGAATTTAAAATAGAAAATAGCTAAGCTGGAGAGTTTTCAATTTCAGCTATTTTTATATACCGGATATAAATAAACCTTCCTTCTACAGGTACTGGCAGATGGAGAATACGATGCAGCAGTGGACTGGTTGGCACTGGGCATTATAATCTGTGAAATGCTGACTGGAGATCACCCATATGACACTGTCCTATCCTCCGAGGAGTTTAGACACACAGTCATAATGCGTAAACCCGACTACCCAGACTGGGTCACCACCGAAACTAAGGGCATGGTGTCTAAGGTGAGTATCTATACCAGTTATCAGCTTTAAGGGACTGGTCTACAGAGAGCAGGGGAACTTGTTACACTAGGAAAAGACATTTAAAGGATGCTCAATGGGGAGATAGTGTTAAAGTAAATAAAAAGTGTAATAGGACATTAAGATTTTATAATTTCTCGTTAGGTTGCCCAAAAAGAAGTTAAAATGATCCATATGTCTTTCTAGTTCCTCATGAAAAACAAACAAACTGTTTTACAGTATGCAGTAACAACAGGTTCCACCCATTCTATGGAGACATATTTTGGGAGGATTTGGAGGATAGGAAGATTCCACCGACCTACGAACCATGAACGTTGAGTATACTTCTGTTACATTAGCCCATGTGGAGCTGATACTTTTAATTTTATTTAAAAAGTTGCAAATATTAAAAATACCTTTTTTAATAGATTTCATTTTAAAAATTGTTTCAATTACGTATGAAATATCATTCAAATAAGAGAACATATGTTCTTCTTACAGCAGCCAGCTCAGGATCCAAAATCACATTCCCAGCAGCGGTCTCTCTCATTTCTGGAGGATGAGAAGAATAAGAGCTTTTCAAGATAGGGCTACACCATCTTTGGCCTAACTTTCAGCAGCTCCAGATTGAGGGACTAAGCTGCCGACTCCATGTTTTCACACATGGGACGGGAAGGAGGGCCGGAGTCAGAGCACAAAAGTAACTAATCAGTATCTTCATTCTCTTTTTACAAACCGAGATGAAAGTCTTGCATACCTTTACACTTACCAGTCAATTACAATCAGCAGTTTATCTAGAGTAGATGTCAGGAACCAACCCACATTTTCGTAACTTTCCCACCTTTCATTCACTTTTGTTCCTGCAGTTTCTATATTTTGTCACTAGTGGCCTCCCTAACCACTAGATCTGAACTCCCTTGGTTCTACATCATCTGCCTAGGTTAATTACTGCACCTACAAAAGGCTACTCCCTGCTCTATACAGTGCCTTTAGATTGAAATTTATGGTCAAACGGAAAAGACTTCTGTTCCTTGCTCCTGTGATCTTACCTGAGTGATTACCAACCTTATCTACATTACCAAGCTTCTTTATTGGATCCTGATTTCCACAGCCAACCTCCTTTGAAACCAAGCTTCTTCAAATCAACTTGAACTACTCTACAACCCAACCCTTGGAACTAATCTGCTTTATTACTTGCTTCAAACCAACCTTTTGTGATTCCAACCAGCTTTATTACCACCCAGCTTCACACCGACTTGAAATACCCGACCAATCTGCTTGATAATACCAACCTGTATCATGCCACCCTGGACTACGCAAAATAACCAATATTGCAAAGAGTTATTTGCCTACTTATCAGTGCTCCATCCAAACAGGGGGCTGATTTACTTAACTACTATTTTGTTTGCTATTCTGATACCTTATTGTTTAGTTCTGTTTTACGTGTCTCGCTCTCCTATGCTTTAATCTATAGGATTTCTCACTATTTCTTATATCCTGTACATAACCTGCCTGGGGCATGTTGCCTAAACTTCCTTTTCTATTGTCACTCCCTATTCCCACCTATAATCTCTCTCAACCTCCCCTATAATTTCATTTATAGGTTCTCTCACATCCTTGCCTATTTCGTTTTTAGGTTTCTCTGCTTACAATTGTCTTATTTCTAACCTGTTTGTAAATAACCACTCTGGGGCATATTGCCTAAACTCTCTTTTCTGTTCTCCCTGCTTTACTTGCCTCCCTCTTTGGCTTGCTAAATATTCCAAATGTCTGTAAATATATCGAAAGTCTCAAACTATCAAAAGTTAATCATGTCATAAGTCTCTTACCTGATCTGCTCCAGACCCTGACAGTGGACATGTAAAACTTTTTAAAAATATTTAATGTGAGTTGAACACTTACATCCACATATTTTGCTTGATGCAGAGCCCACTAACATTTCCTGTAACTTACTTAGATATAAATATGAATTGTGTTTTTTTTGTTTGTTTGTTTTTTTGTACAGAGAGGAAAGTCCAAAACGCAGTTCCACTTTAACTTACTAGAGGGTTTTTCTATGGTTTAACTAGAGATCATACCTGTTAGGTCGCCAGTTGGATATCTGCTACTTGTATACCATCAAAGTACAGACCGTACAGTGCACCATCTCCTACCGTATTACACCAGACTATTGTCTCTTGCTGTATTCCATTGAACAGAACTTCATCTTCTGCAGTATATCACCAGGCAGAGCATATCATCTTTTATTCCATTAGAGATCTTTGCTGTCTATTCCATCAGAGATCGTTTCTGTACGTTATCTAATAATTAAACCTATACATATATAAACATATTGTTGAAAATCTGTATATTTTGTATTATTTGCATTTCAGTTACTTACTAGCTTAATTCTTCTTTAAGAAGAAGTATTTTGTTTAACACAACTTACGTTGCTCCTGCTCCACAGGTTATATTGTTTGTTACTTATCATAGGATGATAAACAGAAAGATGTGATATTTTTTGAATGCATTATATGCTTTTGGTTATTTAAGGATCTTGCCATGCTATCCTCTTGGGGTGGTAGGATCATTAGATATCAGTTAAGTATAGCTCTTCACTGATAGCCTTGGTGATAAAATAATTAAGGGACCAATTTATACTGAATGTTTTGAAACCGTAAAAAATAAAAAGACAACGTAAATAAGTGAATGAACCAGTACATAACAAATGTAGGGATAAGAGGGGTTTGAACTTCAAAGGGATAGGATGACTAGTATAATCTTAGTACCTTATTAAAGGACCACTATAGTGCCAGGAAAACATACTCGTTTTCCTGGCACTATAGTGCCCTGAGGGTGCCCCCACCCTCAGGGTCCCCCTCCCGCCGGGCTGGATGGAGAGGAAGGGGTTAAACTTACCTCTTTCTCCAGCGCCGGGCAGGGAGCTCTCCTCCTCCTCTCCTTCTCTTCGGTTGAATGCGCATGCGCGGCAGGAGCTGCGCGTGCATTCAGCCAGTCCATAGGAAAGCATTCATAATGCTTTCCTATGGACGCTGGCGTCTTCTCACTGTGATTTTCAGAGTGAGAAACGCGGAGGAGCCTCTAGCGGCTATCAATGAGACAGCCACTAGAGGCTGGATTAACCCTAACATAAACATAGCAGTTTCTCTGAAACTGCTATGTTTATAGAAAAAGGGGTTAACCCTAGATGGACCAGGTACCCAGACCACCTCATTAAGCTGAAGTGGTCTGGCTGCCTATAGTGGTCCTTTAATATAATAAGAAATTGTTAAAGTGACTGGATTGATTCCAGCATTCACAGAGTGCAGCATTTGCAAATCAAAGTACCGAACAGTTGTAGTCAGAAGAGGTGCTCAATGAACATCTTCAAGGGATCAGACAAAGTGAACATTGGGTGAAAACTAGTTGAGAGCATTATTGATAACATGGGCAATATGTTCAAGTTTGACATCTTCAAGCTAATAGAACAAACCGTGATCATAGACTTCCAATTTAACTAAAAATAGCAGAGTAATTTCTTATTACTTCTTCAAATTCTTATTTGTTCTATGATTTGAAAGGGTAAGTTGTTTCCAATGGCGAGGCAGAGAACATTTAGCAGCATCTTCCTGAAGTTCCTCTCTGACGCCTCATGCTGTTCAGTGATTCAGGGATCTGGAATATGACGTCATTCTGGCACCGGCATCACTACAGAGATCGCGCAGGGGAGCACAGAGGAAATGTAGGAAGATTAGAGAGCAGCAACACTTGACTACAGGATCCACTCAGATTAGAAAGCAACCACACTGGATTACAGGATCCACTTAGCTTTCCCAAAGGTAGGGAGGCTGAGTGGACATAAATTTAAAATAAAAATGTAAATTTCTGTGTGTATGAAAACGTGTGCGTGTGTGTCAGAGTCCTTGTACATTTGTAGATCGCCCCTCCGATTGCATGAGAAACATATATATATATATATATATATATATATATTTTTTTTTTAAATTCTTTAATTTTTCTTGGACATGTTAATACAGTTAATATTTTGGCTTGCGATGCCACAACAGCATTAGCAGGCCGATTAGGAACAATGGAATTGACGTGGCATGCGATTTGACAGCACATTTTTATATTAATATCAGAGTTGGAACGGTTATGTCAAAATAAGAGATGCGATTTTAAACTAAAGGGTATGATAATTCAAGCTTAATCACACGTAAGATTAATTATTAACGTTTACACCACTATACATTAGTTGGAGTGAAATGAAATTGTTCAAGTGGAATGAGAAATGTCCGCCTTAACAATATCACTGAAGACCACTAGTGCTGTCTAAAGGAGTGGGCTCACCTAGAAAGGGAACACCCCTCTTTCAAATAAGGAGCGTGTCTGCACAGAGTGTATGTATGTCAGGCTGACTGGCCATCATGTGACTATTCCTCTAATTCCATAACTGGGTGTTGTGCCATTTTCCTGTATTTGAATGGTCACTAAGTGGTGAAAACATTGCTGCACTATTTCATTCTTGTACATTTGTAAATTCAATGTGAATGAGTTTTAGGAAGGCTGGACTAGATGAGTAATGTTATACTGTAGTCTGATGGAGATGATGAACCTGTCACACACTCAAAGTAAATGCTAATTCTGTTTCTTAAAGGACCACTATAGTGCCAGGAAAACAAACTCGTTTTCCTGGCACTATAGTGCCCTGAGGGTGGCCCCACCCTCAGGGTCCCACTCCCGCCGGGCTGAAGGAGGGGAAGGGGGTTAAACACCTCCTCCTGACCTTTCTCCAGCGCCGGGCTCCCTCGGTGCTGGGGACCATCCTCCTTCTTCCAACGTCATCGGCTGAATGCGCATGAGCGGCAAGAGCCACGCGCGCATTCAGCCAGTCCATAGGAAAGCATTCTCAATGCTTTTCAATGGGCGCTGGCATCTTCTCACTGTGAAAATCACAGTGAGAAGCGCGGAAGCCCTCTAGCGGCTGTCAATGAGACAGCCACTAGAGGCTGGATTAACCCATATGTAAATGTTGTGGAAATAAGGTCTACACATATTTCCTAGTTAGTGAAAAATGTCTATTTACTCATTTCACGATATATACATATATAGCTAAGCACACACGTTATAATCAAGATGGCTGCTGGAAGCTTCTAGCTCCTTCCCCCTCCCCCTTCCTTTCTCCCTTCTAACATCGACTAACTACCTCGTGCACCAAGATGGCGCCGGGAAACCGTGGGAGATTCTCATGGCCCCGGTGACATCACCTACAGTAGGCAGAGCATTGAAGCAACCACTTAACACCTAACCAATTATTGATGTATTATTCCATGTTATCTCTGACAATGCTTATGATGTAATTTTGCTTTAAAAGGGACTTGCCGTCCCCTCTGAATAAACTTTCCTCAAGTTATTCAGCAACCTAGAACCTGTGTCTGGTGTGAATTACTTCAGGGAGCGTGCACGCATTGTTTCATTGATTTGGCCAGGGGCAGATACACAAAGAAATAATCAATACTTTAATTGATTTTTCCACTTCAATTGGCGCCCAACGTGGGGCCCACCGGAGAGCCGGTTCGGAGGGCCGGAACCAACGGACCGGAGCGGACCTCCGGAAAGTGGGACAAGCGGAGCCTGATCACCTCCATAATACAGCCGTTGCCTGTGTTATTCTCCTGTTTTGTGCCCGTCTGTCTCCGAGTCCACTTCCGGCTTCCAGAAGGCTACTAGAGACAGGTAATTAACTCATCCGGTGCGCCCTTTTTAAGTGAACCTGTCGATTGTCTATCTGCCTCCTGTATTCATTTATGTGTGTGTTTATTATACCTTTAAAACATGTTTGCTTGACTGCCTAGCGGGCAGGGAACGCATTTTATATGTTTGCTTGACTGCCTAGCGGGCAGGGAACGCATTTTATATGTTTGCTTGACTGCCTAGCGGGCAGGGAACGCATTTTATATGTTTGCTTGACTGCCTAGCGGGCAGGGAACGCATTTCAGCCGGTGGGGCTGGGTTTTTATGTTTGCTTGACTGCCTAGCGGGCAGGGAACGCATTTCAGCCGGTGGGGCTGGGTTTTTATGTTAGCTTGACTGCCTAGCGGGCAGGGAACGCATTTCAGCCGGTGGGGCTGGGTTTTTATGTTAGCTTGACTGCCTGGCGGGCAGGGAACGCATTGCAGCCAGTGGGGCTGGGATTTTTGTTTGATTATTGCAGTATTTCCTTTGGTACCAGTGTTTTGCCGGGACCAGCCTGGTGGGTGAAGGCTGGGGATTGTTATACCCTGAATATCTGACACCGGTGGTGTTAACATGTACATGGCTATTTTGCTCTCTATCATTCTGTGGTTTCTGTTTAATTGTTGTTACAGTGTGGGTACCCTTGGTGTGTGTGTGTGTATTGTGTGGTTAGTTCTGGATTCCGGTGTTTACGCTCATTTGTATGTTTGTGATTTTTGCAAATGTCTTCTCATTAGCGCAGCCACGTTCATTTTCTCCTTTGTTCTTTATCTTTCCTGTGCCTGTTGCCCAGAGCTGTGTTAGTCACCCACGCTCATTCGCTCCCGTCCGTGACCACCACCTCGGGTGGGCGGATCTCCGTGACTGGTCTACGTTTGGGGAAGACGCACGGGGCTCAAGTTCTCGTGGCAGTCGAGCACTGTAGACATTCTTTTTTCCCTTATACTTTCTCTACTTCTTTGTCTTCCACGTGTGGCACGCTTTGGTTACTCAAAAATGGGACAGGAACACGCTAGACCTGCTAAGGGCTTGCTAGCTTGTGACATTGTGAAAGAAAGGGCAGGGGAAGTAGCAATGTTGAAACTTAAAAAGATTGCTAAGGTGTGTGGCTTCCAGATGTTGCCTAGTGGGAGATTGCAGCCTGAGTTTTGGAGAAAGCTACTCATAGACAAGGAAGGGTTGTTGTTGGATAATGGACTTACGAAGGTTGCAGAGGCTTGGTATCGGGTAGCTAGAGGTTTGAAACGGGAAGGATGGGTCGAGGAAGAACTGGAGTTCGAGGGCCAAATTGTGTATGTTTATCATAGAAGTGTTCACAATGATGATGTTGTTTCTATTGTTCCACGACCACCGCCCTATGATGGCGCCCGGAGCGCAACACTTAATTCCCGCCCTGCTTCTCCCGTCACAGCACAAACCCCACCCTCCGGGGGTGTGCCTTCAGCTCCCACTCCCCTGTGCCCCGTACTTGGTGCGGATGGTGCTTACTATTATCCAGTCCCACTTCACTCATTCCCACCTACTCCCATGCCTCAACCCTCCTATGACCCAACCCCTTCCATCAGCCATCCTTCCATCATGCCTGCCGAAGCCCCTCCGCCTTCATGTCCTTCGCTACCTCTCCCAGTGACCGTCCCCACTCCGGACCCTCCCATGGCTTTCCCCACCTTACCCATTGAAGTCCCACCTTCCTCCTCCGCTTCCCTCTCAACCCCGAGTACCCCTTCCCTAGTAACTCCCGTTCCCTCACCCTCTCCGTCTATTACACATCCAACTCCCCTGACCCATACCCTTTCCACCGGCCCTATTCCTCCGGATCTCTGTCTCCCCGCTGACCCAGGACCCCTCCCTCCCACGGCCGATTTGCCGTCCCTAATCTCTGCCCTCACCGTCCTGACCCAACCCCCTGTTACCACCTCTCCATCCCCTTCTCCAGTGTTACCTCCTCCTCCCGAAGTCCCAGCCCCCTCTACCTCGCTACCCCTCCCTCCCACGGCCGATTTGCCGTCCCTAATCTCTGCCCTCACCGCCCTGACCCAACCCCCTGTTACCACCTCTCCATCCCCTTCTCCAGTGTTACCTCCTCTTCCCGAAGTCCCAGCCCCCTCTACCTCATTACCCCTCCCTCCCACGGCCGATTTGCCGTCCCTAATCTCTGCCCTCACCGCCCTGACCCAACCCCCTGTTACCACCCCTCCAACCCCTTCTCCAGTGTTACCTCCTCCCGAAGTCCCGGCCCCCTCTACCTCGTTGTCTCCTCCTCCCTCGGCCGATTTGCCGTCCCTAATCTCTGCCCTCACCGCCCTGACCCAACCCCCTGTTACCACCTCTCCAACCCCTTCTCCAGTGTTACCTCCTCCCGAAGTCCCGGCCCCCTCCACCTCGTTGTCTCCTCCTCCCTCGGCCGATTTGCCGTCCCTAATCTCTGCCCTCACCGCCCTGACCCAACCCCCTGTTACCACCCCTCCAACCCCTTCTCCAGTGTTACCTCATCCCGAAGTCCCAGCCCCCTCTACCTCGTTGCCTCCTCCTCCCCCGACTGGTTTGCCATCCCAACCCTCCACCCACGTTGTTACGACACAGCCCCCTGTTCCTATCCTTCCGACCCCTCCCCGGTGACCCCTGACCCATCCATGGCCAATGACCTGTCTAGCTCGATATCCGCCCTCTTCTCTGCTGTTACCTCCCTGGTTAATTCCGCGATCCATGTGCCGCCTCCCACTGATTTACCACCCCCTCCTCCACCTCCTCCCCCCGAACCTCCGACCCCTTCCTTGTCTCCCGCTAACATCCCCGAGCCTTCCGATCCAATCTCTGCTCTTGCTCATGTCCTAAACACTCACCTCTCACGCCCATCTCAACCGGCCCCCATAGCAGCCCCTTCCACGGCATTGATTCCTCTTCCGCCAGTCCTAGTTATCCAATCATGGTGGTTGGGTCCGAGGTGTCTGTGACATCGGACCAACCCTATGCAATGGGTGCTTCCCCCCAGGCCTCAGGTTTCCACCCAACTACCTCTCCCATCACCGGCCTCCCTGCCGCCCCCGCCACAGCTACTCCTGAGACTACCCTTCATCGTGGCCCGGTGGCACCCGAGGAGGTCGTTGTGGTGGACCAG